CATTGGCCTCCTCTCCCCCATTCACAAGGGAGGATTGCCTTGTGGTTGTGCTGCCACTGCTCAGTTCCAAAGGCAGCTCCACATGCTCCAAACCGGAACTCTTCACCTCCCCAAACCGCACGCCTATCTTCGCCTCATTCTCCGCCTTCCAATCCTTGTACATGAAGTTCTCCATGAACTTGCAGTCCCTGCTCACCAAGAACTTCTTGGTGAATGGGTCCCAAAGAAGCCATCCCTTGCTGTTTTGAGCCATGCCCAAATGCACGGCCCACACCGCCTTGGCACCAAGCTTGTTGTGCCGAAGATGCTTAGGCACGAGCGCCATGCACATGCACCCGAACACCCGAAGCATATCCACCTTTGGCTTCCTTCCTAGCCACTCCACATAGGGCACCCATTTGTCTGCTCCCACATGAGTCAAGGCTCTGTTCTTGGCCACACACGCGCTCCGCACCGCATCAGGCCAGAAATAGTCGGGTAGCCCGGCTTCAATGAGCAACCCGCGTGCCGCCTCCGTGATTGTGCGGTTCGCTCGCTCGGCGATGCCGTTCATTGCAGGGGAGTATGGCATGGTGAGGGAGTGCCGAATACCATTCTTCTTCAGCCACAACCCAAACTCCTTGCTCAGGAACTCTCCCCCTCGATCGGTGCGGATTGACTTGACTAGACGGTCTTGTTGCCGCTCCACCATCGGGAACCAATCCGTCTTCAACGTTTCAGCCACGTCGCTCTTCTTGGCCAGCACGTACACCCAAGTCATGCGGGTGTAGACGTCGACAATGGTGAGAAAATACTCAGCTCCAGCAGCTCCAAGCTTCAGGGGGCCCACCATGTCCATCACCACCTCATCAAGCGGTGCCTTTGCCGTTGCCTCCGAACTAGGGAACGGAAACCGGGTGAACTTGGCTTGAATGCACGTCGGGCAGCCAAGCACCTCATCGGGCTCCCCCTTCACACGTATGCCAGCAACCATCTCATTCTTCACTAGCTGCTGCAAGATGGGCAGGGCCACATGCCCCATGCGCCGATGCAAGGTGAGCCAATCACACTCCCCCGTAGCCGAAGTTGGATTGGAGAATGCCGCGCTCGCAATAGCGCCCCACATACTCTCTCCGTAGTCCTCCTCCGCTGCTGCCTCTGGGTTCTCCTCACCCTTTTGCTGCTCCTTGGTTGCTGCACCACTCTCCTTAGGTTCACTGAACTTGCTGGTCCCTCCAGGTTTGCTCTTCTTGAGCTCATTCTCCTTAGCGCGACCGTTCGCGCCATCGTCGCTACCGACCGCTCCATCCTTGGTGCTGATGCTTGCTGCCACTTGCCTCTCATTAGGCATAGGGACCACTGGGATCTGCCACATCTCGTTGTAGACATCCCTGTCCTCATGAAGGTCCCAAAGAATTCGATCGCCAAGCCTTGCGGTGTAGGTCTTGGCTCCGTTCGAGTTCGTGTCCATGCCGGCCTTTGCCAACCGCCGCACGGAAATCAGGTTTGCAGCAAGGCTGGGCACCCAAAGCACGTTCTTGAGGCCCACCATCTTCCCATCAGCACCCTTGAACATGGCCTTGCCCATGCCTTTCACCTCTGCTCGCTGCCCCAAAGCCGATGTGACATGCTTCACCGGTGACGGCTCGAGTTCGGTGAGCAAGTCCGGGCGAGGTGTCATGCTATAGGTAGCGCCACTATCAATCACCCAATAGTCCAGGGGGTGTAGGGACACCTTCCCCACAGCTGCTGGCTCCTCAAAGCCTTCATCCTTCTCTGGACCAGCCGGTACTTGCGTCGACACGAAGTAGAATAGACCCGGGTATCGATCGTCGCTCGGGTCCTTGTCGTTGTCTCCGCTCTTCATGTTTGCAGCTCCGCCACCGCGACCGCCACGGCCTCCACGGCCTCGTCCTCTCCCTCCTCCTGCTCCTCTACCCTCTTGGCCTTGAGCAGGGGTCCAACCATCAGGGAGTTTGTAGCAGTCGCGCCACATGTGTCCGCTCTTGTGGCAATAGTGACACTCGCCGTCGAATCGGCCGCGACCGCGTCCGTAGCTCTTGTCGTCGCTGCCGTAACCGCCACTCCTGCGGCCTCCGCCGAAGTTGCTGCCACCAAACCTTCCTCCCCCTCGTCCTCTGCCTCTTCCTCGACCATATCCACGGCCGATGCTCGCTGCCCCAGCGCCATCCGCACTCGCCAACTCACGGCGGCGGAAATCCTCTTGAAGGATAGCTCGCTTCACGTCTTCAAGCGAGAGGCGGGGCAAGTCGCGATTAAGGTTGATGATGAGCGAGGACCATGACTCTGGGAGTAAGGCCAGCAACTTGGTCTTCTTTTGGAGCTCACTGTAGTTCAAATCAGCTCCCTCAAGCCGCGTCAACAAGTCGAAGAATTTCTGCACCCCTTCTTCAACCGCTTCGTTTTCTTCAATTCGTAGTGCCGCCATTTGTCGTTCCAACACCACCGCTACCGCCGCTGTTGCAGGAGCATGTACACCCTTGAGAGCAGCCCATGCCTTTGGTCCTTTCTCTGGTTCACGCTGGAATGGCTTGATGTGACGGATCTGACTGCTCCCCAACGCTTGCCCAAGTAAGAGATAGCCTTGTGCGCTCTTCCGCACCCACGGGCTCTTCTCCGGGTCGTTCTCGGGGCGCTTCTCCGTTCCTTCCATCACCTCCAGCAGGTCATAGTGGTCAAAGATGTCCTCCATCTTGAAGGACCATTCAGCAAAGTTGTCACCGTTGAACTTGTCAAGCCCAAACACCCTAGGCTCATCCCTAGGTGGGCCAAGACTTGGTTGCATGGGCGCCATGGCTGAATCACGGGGTTGGCCTTGAGCTTGAGCTTCTCCACTGCCACCAGCACCTCTGCCACCCCTTTCCTCAGGTCCAGACATTGTCGAAACTGCTCCAAGGGGCTCTGATACCACTTGTTATAGTCACAATAGGCTTGAATGTGCCTAAAACGAAAGATAGAGAGCACAGACGGATTTCTGCACAGCGGCTTCAAACGTTGATAGCGTTCTGCTCACAGCTGCAAATGACTTGATTCAAATTGGATCTGGAGCGTCTTCACATCGTCTATAATTATCAATTTAGATTGCACGATTTGAGAAAGAATTGACGACACAGCGTCGGTTTGAACGAACGGTACTATGGCAGCCACTATAGTCTTAGAACACAAGATAGGAAGAGTTACGAGTTGGGAATGACTCCCAGCTCCTACAAACCCCAAGAGCCGAGGTACAGTGATGTGGAACAGTGCCATACTGTCCCCAACCACGAAGGGTCTCGAAACTACCCTTCACTAGGGCCTACACCAAGTGAAATGTTACACTACACAAAGTAATGTAACTATCTTCAATATCTTGAGGTGTACCCTTTTTGGCGAGCTTCGAAATCACTTGAGGCTTGACACCAAGGCTCGGGTTCTTCATCACAAACTCATCCTTGAGTTCTTGATGGGTCTGCTGCACACACCTGCGACACGCCGAACGTTCGACACAGGACAAAATAGAAACCGCGCACGACAAAATAGAAACCGCGCGCGAGACACAAACGACCGCGTAACACGCGTCTAGCGATAACTCGCTATTGACTCGACACACACACTCGACATCATGACTCAACATTCACACACAATTATAAGCATGAAATATATATTATCCCATGCCCTCATACCATTCCATACACACACACATTCACGCACACGGACAACAAGCCGAGTGCAAACCGTAGGGTTGCACCAACACGTCGGGCATGGGGCTCGTGCTTGGAGGGCGGAGTCCAGTGGTCCTCACTGGTCACGCAGACGCTTCTTGGGCTGACGACCAGGCTACGCAGCGGTCGCCACAGGGTTACACCTTCAGCCTTGGTTCCGGCTCTGTTTCGTGGCGGTCTACCCGCTCGTCCTCTGTTCTCGGCTCCAGTTGTGAGGCTGAGATCTACGCAGGGGCCATGGCTGCACAGGAGCTACGCTGGCTCACCTACCTGCTGACTGACCTAGGAGAGGCGCCTCGTTCTCCTCCAGTTCTGTACGTAGACAACAAGGCCATGCTGGCCTTGTGTCGGGGGCACAGGCTGGAGCACAGAACGAAGCACATTGCTCTTCGCTACTTCCTTGCCCGTGAGCTGCAGCAGCGTGGTCAGCTGCGCCTTGCTTACGTAGCCTCTCAGGCCAACACTGCTGATATCTTTACCAAGGCACTTCAGCCTTGTGATCATCGGCGCTTTTGTACGATGCTAGGTCTTGTGCCTACTTTGCCGCACTTGCTCACTTCTTGACCTTGTTTGTACTGTGATCTATCTATACCTGCACTTGCTTGTTTACCTTTATATATAATCTTGCATGTGAACTGGCCTTGTGGCCTTGAACTTGTGCTCGGAATGTGTGGTGACGTTGTGATCCACCCTGAGCTTGCTGTGCTTTGCTTGACTGGTCTTGTGACCTCTTGTTCTCCCCCACTTTGCCTATAGGGGTGTGTCAAGTTTATATGCTATGGTCTATCTAGGCTGTAGTGGGGTAGATACTATAGGGTACAACATTTCTAGGTTTTCTACTTGTACCCACATTTCACCTAGTCATTTCATTCCTCGTTCTTTCACATATGTTCCCCCCTCTATGCCCTCATGGGCATGGGTTGCTATTTAAATATCTTATATTTACTCAACAGAAATTCAAACGTTGATATTAAGTCCTTGTATTCATTTTCTTTGTACCATCAGTACGTTCTGGTGGCCATTTACCTTTATCTAATAATATATATGTTGTTAAGGGAATATATGCTGTACGTGTACGTGTGTAATGTATTCATTTGCTGCATCATTTACGGCTTTCCCGAACGCACAATCCCGCACCCCCTTCAAACCAACCATGCGTGGTGAGATGGTGGGGCGAGCACTGTATTCTATCACATATGCTTCGTTTTCGCCCCCTCCCGCTTCCCGCAGTCGCCCCGCCCGCCTCGTCCTTGCGTTAATCCACCCGTGGGTTTCGCGCCGGTAGAAGCGCGCTTCCCAATGTCCTCATCGCACCACCACTCCGCGCGCGCCACGCTACGAGCCCGCTGGCACGGCGGCGCGCACAAGGCGGGTTACGGAATCCGCGCGGCGCACGTCATCCAGGCGTGCGCCTTCGCTATAGTCACGCTCTGGCTCTGCTACCATTGGTCGCACGCCCCCCGCCGCCAGCCCCCGCACGACGCGGACCCGGCGGCGGTGAGCGCGGGGAGGCTGCAGGTTCGGGGGCTCGTGATGGAGCGGCCCAAGCCTAAAGATGTGGCTCGGCGGAAGAGCCGCAGCGTGATCTCCCTGGAGGGCCCCGGCGACCGCGACCTGCTGCCGGGGGACGGCGCTCTGGCGGACGCGGAGGGCGCGCGCGGCGGAGGGACGGCGCTGGCGGGGGGGGATATCGTGCGGCGCATCGTGGCGAAGGCGGGCATGGCGCAGGCGGCGGGCGTGAAGCTGAAGGACCTGGTGGAGGCGAAGGCGCAGGGCGGGGGGAACCTGCTGGGGGAGTTCGGGGGGGAGGCGGAGGAGGAGGGGGAGCGGAAGTGGGAGGAGGAGGGGGAGATGGAGGAGCGCGCGCTGGTGGACCTCAAGGGCGGCGGGCGCGAGGCGAAGGTGGTGCAGCGCGCGCTGGACGAGACGCGCGCCGTGGAGGGGGACGGCGCTGGGGAGGGGGGCGCGGAGGGGGAGGGCGAGCGCGAGGGCGCTGCGTCGTCGGCGCTGGAGGTGGCGGAGGACGCGGAGCTGGGCGCGGGGAGGGGGGGCGCGGATGAGAGAGGGGCGGGGGGCGGGCGGGAACAGCAGGCGGGGCGGGGGGAGGGACAGGGTGGAGGGGGGAGCGGGAAGTTGTTCAAGGTGGAAGGGAGAGGGGAAGAAGGGGCGGAGACGGAAGGGGAAGAGCAGGGAGGGGAGGCGGGGCAGCAGGGACGGGGAGAGGAGGAGGATGAAGAAAGTGGTGAGGAGGATGGGGCAGCCGAGAGCGGCAGCAGCAGCAGCAGCGGCAGTGGCGGCGCATGGGAGGGGCAGCAGGGGAGGGAGAAGGAGAGTAGTGTGAGCCACCCAGTGGTGCTGGCGGGCACAAGGCGCATGGCAGTGCGCCTGCACGCCCCCTCCGCGCGCCTGCTGCTCGCCTTCTCCCCCTCCCGCGTTGCCATGCCCGCCCACCCGCCCACCCGCCTCACCGCCGTGCCGCCCCTGCTGCTGCCGCTGCTGCCGCCCGTGCTGCAGGGCCGCCCGCTGTCAGCCTTCCAGGCGGAGGGCGCTGCTGCTGCTGCTGCTGCTGCTGGTAGTGGTGGTGGTGGTGGTGGTAGTGGTGGTGGTGGTGGTGGTAGTGGTGGTGGGAGGGGAGTGGGGAAGGGCAGCACGCAGGGTGTGACGTGGCGGGGGCACGTGCGAGTGGGCAGAGGTGAGGGGGAACCGGGGGTAGAGAGAGGTGTGGGTTGGTGGTGCATGAATTTATTGCCTCTGCCTCCCCTCTCCTCGCCTCCTCTCCCTTCCACCCCACCATTCATTCCCTCTCCATCCTTGTCATTCCCCTCTCGCCCACACACTATCCGTCACCCCTCTCCTGCGTTCCCTCACCCCTCTCCTGCGTTCCCTCACCCCTCTCCTGCGTTCCCTCACCCCTCTCCTGCGTTCCGTCACCCCTCTCCTGCGTTCCCTCACCCCTCTCCTGCGTTCCGTCACCCCTCTCCTGCATTCCCTCACCCCTCTCCTGCGTTCCGTCACCCCTCTCCTGCGTTCCCTCACCCCTCTCCTGCGTTCCGTCACCCCTCTCCTGCGTTCTGTCACCCCTCTCCTGCGTTCCCTCACCCCTCTCCTGCGTTCCGTCACCCCATTGAAGCGTCATCCCTCCTCCCTCTGCCCCCGTGTGTGTGCTACACACCGTGCGTGCCTGGTGGGCGCAGGGGACAGTGGGGCTGCGGAGGGGACGGTGGAGAGCGACGGGGTGAGGGGAGGGGGCGAGGAGGGCGGGGAGGGCGAGGAGGTGGAGGTGCGGGTGGGAGTGAGCGCGGAGGTGCTGAGTGCGCGCGCCATCGCTGTCACGTGGACCGTGACGCCCGCACTTGTACGTGCTGCCTTGCACTGCCTGCCCTCTGCCCACTCGCACGTGCCCCCGCCACGTCACACCCTGCGTGCTGCCCTTGCACTGCCTGCACTCCACGCCCCTGTCCGCGTACCACATGGTCACACTTCGTCTCCCCCCTCTCCCTATGTTGCAAAATACGCGACTGGCGTACCAGTCGTGTACGAACAATACGCTCACGTACGTACGTGAGACGCGGGATTTCCGCCACACGATACGCTCGAAATACGGTCGCCCGGGCAGGGGAAAAAAAGTTCCCGGGCAGGGGAAAAAAGTATCAGGGGGTGAGTCACGTTGCCTATGTTCATTGTGACCTTGCACATTCTGGTTTTTCCCCACGTATGAAACTTTTGTTCCCCATTACAAACATGCATTGCAAGTACACACATACTAGCAATTACTTGACGGAAACATCCCCTAACTCCCCTACTCCCCAAACCTTCAAATGCTTCTCCTCCTCCTTTACTCCTCAATCTCGCCGCCTCCTCAACCACTTACCGAGCTGCTGCTGCCTTTCTTACTCCACGTACTCATCGGCCAGCACGACATCATCCTCCTCCCCCTCCTCCTCCTCCTCCTCCTCCTCCTCCTCCTCCTCCTCCTCCTCCTCCTCCTCCTCCCCTTCCTTCTCCTTGTTGTATCCCTCCGGCAGAGCGGGTTCAGGGGTGTTGCCCGGAAGCACCGCCAGTGACTCACCCCGCTTGTGGTACTTGTGGACCACATGCCAGTTGTGGGTCACATAAACTAGGTCTCGGAGCTTCTCCGAGCCTAGCTTGTTGCGGCGGGCAGTGTGCACCGACTCCCACGATGCCCACCCGCGCTCACAAGGCGAGGCCGACACCGGCTGTGTCAGGGCACGGCATGCAAGGCTGGCCAGGTGGGGGTGGTCAGTCCCGTGCCATCCCCACCACTGCACCATCGAGTGCTTGCCTGCCTTCACGGCCTCCCTGTTAGCAATTGCCTCAGGGAGGCCGAAGGATCCTTCAAGGGTGAGGAAGGCCGTGAGCCCCTCCTGCAAAACAGGAGAGGCCCGCCTCTCCTCACCGTCCTTGTTGGTGAACGTCTTACCGTCGTAGTGACGTGCGATGAACGCCTTGAAGATGCGGGTACATTCCACGTCGTTGCGGAATGTACCCTCTTCCTGATTTGCCGGGTTCAGGATCCGCCCCACAACGTGAAGAGCGCAAGCAAGGCTCTCGTCCCAACGGCGCCTAACAGTCTTCCCAATGTCATCCGCAACCGCCCGCGGCAGAATCTTCTCCCCCGCTTCCAGCTTGTCGTTCACGTCCTCGGTCAGCTGCAGCATAACGTCGTAGATGGTTCCCATCATGCCTTTCGCGCTGCTGTCCGTGGCCCGCATCACCTTGATTGGAATCGCCAAGAGCTCCACCAGGTACGTAGCGTTCTTCCACCATGCGTCGTCCATGACGTGGCCGCGGAACGTATCCGCCGTCAGCTTCCTAGCCCCCGCCGACAAGTTGGCGTACTCCTCGCTCAGCACCATCTGCGACAGTGTGGACCGCAGCTGGACGAGCCTTGAGAGGGCGATGTAGTTGGTGCCGAACCTGGTCCCCGCCGGCTTCACAAGCTGCTTCCCCTTTCCTCCCTTCACCTTCCTACTCCGCAGGTAATTGCGGGTGAAATGGTGGTTCCGGACGTAGATGATAATGTCCCCGCACCGATCCACAATGTCCTTGCACCACGTGATTTTGCCCACGTCCTCCATCAGGAGGTCGAGCACGTGCGTAGCGCACGGCACGTACTCGATGTGCGGCCAATCCGCCATCAGCTCCTTGCAGGCAGCCCGGTAGTTGGAGCCCCCGTCCATGCAAAGGGCTACCACGTTTTCGGGCCCCACCTTCTCGATGATGGGCCGGAGGAGGGACGCTATGTAGCCGCCGGCTATGTTGGAATTGACGCGTCAAGCGTCTTTGACGCTAGCGTCAAAACGCTAGCGTCTGGACGCTTGACGCACAATCCTGATTCTTTTGACGCAGTTTTGACGCTCTGGCGGGCAGCCGAAAAAACTATCGGGCAGCAATAGAAAAGTATAACGGGGGAGGGAGGGGAGTGATAAGGCGAAAGTTAAGGGGTAATAGGAGTGGAACGGCGATCTAACTTCGTAGGTACAGGATAGTCAATCCAACCCTAATTTCTGTCAAGTAGCTTGCAAAGCAGAGAGTGACGACCTGGATTGGCGTGACTGATTTTTGTCAACTTCAGTTGGTTGGATTTTCTAGTTGCGTTGCGGTACAATGTGGTGTGGGGAATGTTTTTGTGTTTCTGTTTTGTGAGGGGTGTTCAATGTCGATTTGACATTCGAAGTCACGATTTCGAAGCGAAGTCGCGATTTCGAAGCTAAGTCGCGAATGATTTTTTTTCCGCACGATTTCGGGCTGCCCGAAAATTTTCTGACCAGCGTCAAGCGTCAAAACGCGCGTCAAGCGTTTTGCGTCAAAACGCTAGCGTCAAAACGCTTGACGCAACCCCTTCAGAGCGTCAATTCCAACATAGGCCGCCGGTTTTTGACTCCATGTTGCCGTCGATAGCCTCGATAAACACCGCTCCCGAATCGTTGACCAGCATGACATTCGCGTGCGGCCTCCCGCACCGATCGGTCATCAAGTCGGAGGAGACGGTGATGACATCACTCTTCCAGCTCGCGGCGATGGGCTGAAGCCCCTTCTCGAGGCCCTGCCGGCATTGTTTCAGCCCAGCTCCTCCCACGTAGGTACGGCGCGGCGCGGCATAACCGTGAGGTGCGTAGTTGATGGCCCTGACCATGTTACTCCACAACGGGTTGTCGGCGTGGTGTTCGGGAATGCGACAGCCGGCGAAGAGCATACAGACGGAGTTGTTCGCCTCGCCATTCTTGCATTGCGCCTCGTCGCCAATGAAGTCGGTGATGCGGCCTTTCTTCGCACCTCCCACAACAGCATCGAGCGCAGCATCCTCGGCCCGCCTTTACGTGCGTACGGAAAAAGCGCGAACTTTTGTTTTTTTTTTGTTTTTTTTTTCCTGCCCGGCTTTCCGTATCGCGCATTTGTCCCCGTTTCACGTTTTTGCGTTTATACGTGAACGCATATACGTGAAACGAAAAATTTGCAGAGCGTATACGGTAACATAGCCCTCTCCCTTCCCCCCTGCCCTCCCGTTCGCCCACCACCCCTGCCCGTGCATTCCACCACCCCTGCCCGTGCATTCCACCACCCCTGCCCGTGCATTCCACCACCCCTGCCCGTGCATTCCACCACCCCTGCCCGTGCATTCCACCACCCCTGCCCGTGCATTCCACCCCCCCTGCCCGTGCATTCCACCACCCCTGCCCGTGCATTCCACCACCCCTGCCCGTGCATTCCACCACCCCTGCCCGTGCATTCCACCACCCCTGCCCGTGCATGCCTCCAACATGCGCCAGCCAGCAGCAGCACGGCGTGCACAGCGCCCCTTTGAAGCGCCTCTGCACCTGGAGCTGAAGGTGAGAGAGGGGTGCAGGTGAGAGAGGGGTGCAGGTGAGAGAGGGGTGCAGGTGAGAGAGGGGTGCAGGTGAGAGAGGGGTGCAGGTGAGAGAGGGGTGCAGGTGAGAGAGGGGTGCAGGTGAGAGAGGGGTGCAGGTGAGAGAGGGGTGCAGGTGAGAGAGGGGTGCAGGTGAGAGAGGGGTGCAGGTGAGAGAGGGGTGCAGGTGAGAGAGGGGTGCAGGTGAGAGAGGGGTGCAGGTGAGAGAGGGGTGCAGGTGAGAGAGGGGTGCAGGTGAGAGAGGGGTGCAGGTGAGAGAGGGGTGCAGGTGAGAGAGGGGTGCAGGTGAGAGAGGGGTGCAGGTGAGAGAGGGGTGCAGGTGAGAGAGGGGTGCAGGTGAGAGAGGGGTGCAGGTGAGAGAGGGGTGCAGGTGAGAGAGGGGTGCAGGTGAGAGAGGGGTGCAGGTGAGAGAGGGGTGCAGGTGAGAGAGGGGTGCAGGTGAGAGAGGGGTGCAGGTGAGAGAGGGGTGCAGGTGAGAGAGGGGTGCAGGTGAGAGAGGGGTGCAGGTGAGAGAGGGGTGCAGGTGAGAGAGGGGTGCAGGTGAGAGAGGGGTGCAGGTGAGAGAGGGGTGCAGGTGAGAGAGGGGTGCAGGTGAGAGAGGGGTGCAGGTGAGAGAGGGGTGCAGGTGAGAGAGGGGTGCAGGTGAGAGAGGGGTGCAGGTGAGAGAGGGGTGCAGGTGAGAGAGGGGTGCAGGTGAGAGAGGGGTGCAGGTGAGAGAGGGGTGCAGGTGAAAGAGGGGTGCAGGTGAGAGAGGGGTGCAGGTGAGAGAGGGGTGCAGGTGAGAGAGGGGTGCAGGTGAGAGAGGGGTGCAGGTGAGAGAGGGGTGCAGGTGAGAGAGGGGTGCAGGTGAGAGAGGGCCCTTCAGTTCATGTCATGCCTTCCGCCTCTGGTAGTTGTCGCACGACAGCATCTCACTTCATTCCTCTTTGCTCTGCGCCCACCACTGCCTCCCCCCAGCTGTCACACGCACACTTCTCACTTGCCTTCCCGCCAATTCCGCCCCTTCTTGCCGTTTGCAGATCCAGGACAGCCCTGTTGGGTGGTACGGTGGTGGAGAGCGGTTCAATGCGGTGAACCAGAAGGGAAGTGTGCTGCCCATGGCAAGCCGAGACACACCCTCAGGCAACCAGGTGGGACCTTGACTCCACTTGGGGTTGGGACCAGGTGGAACCAGGTGGGACCAGGTGGTGTTGTAAATGTATATCTTACATACCATTCATAGGCTAGAATAGGTGTAGTTATTGGGGGGTTGGTTGTACACTCCAACCACACCTTGTGGTTGGTCAACATTGGGTTTGGTGATGGTCCGTGGTTCGCACTTGCCAACCTTTTGGCCCTTAGACCAACCAATCCCAACCTAGCTACATTGTGAGGTTGCTTGCTCAACAAGGCATCTCACCCATTGGCCAACTTAGTGGCCAATAGGGTTAGATCTCTTCCACTCTTCCCGTCTTGCATGCTTGTATTATAGGGCCTCTTGGCTCATTAGTAAAGTACAATTTTGAGTTCTAATAGGTGGGACCAGGTGGGACCCCGACTTGAAGAGGCAGGGCGAACTTCTCTCTCTCGTGCGGCCCGTCCTCTCCACCCTCTCGTGCGGCCCGTCCTCTCCACCCTCTCGATCAAGTCCATTATCGTCGTCGCGCAGCTTGCCTTGCCGCCATCGCGCACCTCACCTCACCTCATCCCCCCACGCGTCTCTCCTCCAGGCGGAGCGCACGTACAAGGCGGTGCCATTCGTGATGAGCACGTCGGGGTGGGGTGTGTGGGTGGACTCGCACGCCCAGGGCTCCTTCCTGCTCAACCACGCCTCCGACCCCCACCACCTGGTGCATGCATGGTGGCGCATGGTGCTGCATGCTGCATGCTGCATGCATGGTGGTGCATGGTCTATGCAGCAGCAAAGTGCATGTTATTGCTGGCTGTGTGGGCTGTTAGCAGTTATGCTTCCATTCCCTCCATCGCCGATTATTGTCGATGCCATTCGCTCCATTCCATTGCCATGCCACACCACCGTCGCCTATTGCTCACTTATCCCTTAACTTGCCCTCCACACCTTCACGTGCCCTCTCTCCTCTCGTTGCGCTCCATTCGCCCCTCCTCTGTCCCCCCACCCCCAGGTGCTGCGCTACCCGCTCTTCACGGCGCTGCGCGTGGTCTTCATGGCGGGGCCGCGCCTGCTGGACGTGCTCGCGCTCTTCTCACGCCTCTCCTCCTCGCGCCCCATCCCGCCGCCCCTCTGGGCCTTTGCGCCCTGGAAGGGCCGCGACGTGCACCGCAGCAGCCACGAGGTGCGCTGGGGTGACGGGGTATTTTCCTTGTGAAATGATGTCCAGGGCAGTCTAAAAAAAACTGTGCCCACCATGGAAGCAATGCAATCACAATAAAAATTGTGATGTGGGCGATGGACGCACATTGCATGGGGGATGGACGCACATTGCATGGGGGATGGACGCACATTCGTATGGGGGATGGACGTACATTGCATGGGGGATGGACGCACATCGCATGGGGGATGGACGTACATTGCATGGGGGGTGGACGTACATTGCATGGGGGATGGACGTACATTGCATGGGGGATTAAATCCCGCAACCCGAATTGCGGAGCGTGAGGGGCAAGATAACTAGTCGTGCGCACTAGGCGTTTTGGGTGTTGTATGTTGGCGAATTCTTAGCTCACAGGCATCCCAGTGGCTCACAGGCCCCCCATTGTTGAGCAGGTGTCAGTCAACCCGTAGATGGGCTCGCCGTGTGAGGTGCTTGTTCAAGCCCTCCGTGCTGGGGGTGACAGTGCGCCACATGCCAGCCTTCTTGTCTTTCCTGTCTCTTGCATTGCATGGCGGATGGACGCACATTGCATTGCATGGCGGATGGACGCACATTGCATTGCATGGCGGATGGACGCACATTGCATTGCATGGCGGATGGACGCACATTGCATTGCATGGCGGATGGACGCACATTGCATTGCATGGCGGATGGACGCACATTGCATTGCATGGCGGATGGACGCACATTGCATTGCATGGCGGATGGACGCATATTGCATTGCATGGCGGATGGACGCACATTGCATTGCATGGTGGATGGACGCACGTTGCATTGCATGGTGGATGGACGCACATTGCATTGCATGGCGGATGGACGCACATTGCATTGCATGGCGGATGGACGCACATTGCATTGCATGGGGGATGGACGCACATTGCATTGCATGGCGGATGGACGCACATTGCATTGCATGGGGGATGGACGCACATTGTTGTAAATGTACATTATATACAACATTCATATGCTAGAATAGGTGTAGTCCCTTATGTTCTTGGGGGGCTGGGTGTACACTCGAACCACACTTTGTGGTTGGTCAAGATTGGATTTGGTCTTGGTCCTTGGTTGGCACTTGCCAACTTTTGGTCCTAACACCAACCAATCACATCCTATCTACATTGTGGGGTTTCCTACTCCACAAGGCACCTCACCCATTGGCCAACTTAGTGGCCAATAGGGTTAGCTCCTCCTCCACTCCTCTCTTCCTTGCATGCTTGTACTATAGAGCCTCCTTGGCTCATTACTCAATCATTCTTGAATTCTATCATGGTATCAGAGCCAAATGGCTCACGCCACCTTCCCTCGATCCTTAGACTGCAATTTACTCTCCGCTCCTTTACCCTAGCGGACTATGACCTACATCGGTCCACCCACACCTCAGATCTAGCCTTCCGCAACCTAGATCTCCACCCCCCGCGGCCTCAATCCTCCTTCCCGCGGCCTCAATCCTCCCGCCCGCGGCCTCAATCCTCCCTCCCGCGGCCTCAATTCTCCCTCTCACGGTCTCAAACCGTCCTTACGCGGCCTCAAACCGCTCCCCCGTGGCAGCAACCCTCCCCCCCCCGTCGCCACGCCTCAACCTGCCCGCCGACGCGACCGACCTGTGCGCCGACGCGGACGACCAGCGCGGCGACGCGGCCGACCAGCGCGGCGACGCGGACGACCAGCGCGGCGACGCGGCCGACCAGCGCGCCGACGCGGACGACCTGCGCGCCGACGCGGACGACCAGCGCGGCGACGCGGACGACCTGCGCGGCGACGCGGCCGACCAGCGCGGCGACGCGGACGACCTGCGCGGCGACGCGGCCGACCAGCGCGCCGACGCGGACGACCTGCGCGCCGCCGCGGACGACCTGCGCGCCGCCGCGGACGGTCAGCGCGCTGTCGCCAGCGACCTGCGCGCCGACGCGGCCGGCCAGCGCGTGACCGCCGACGACCCACGCGCTGACGCGGACGGCCAGCGCGCGACCGCCGACGAGCCGCGCGCTGACACGGACGGCCAGCGCGCGGCCACGAACGAACCGCGCGCCGACGCGGACGGCCAGCGCGCGGCCGCCGACGACCCTGCGCCGACGCGGACGGCTGGCGCGGAGCCGCGGCTGACCTGCGCGCCGTCGCGTTCGGCTGCCCGCGACCTCCACGACCCCGCAACCCTAATCCTCCCTCCTCCCCCTATCCTGCCCCACACCCGCGCCCCTCCCCACACTTCCGCACCAGCCTCTCTTCCCCCCCCTACCTCCTCCCCCTACTCCACCCTTAACGGCACCAGCAGCAGCAGCAGCGGCGGCACCAGCAGCGGCACCGGCAGCAGCAGCAGCGGCGGCACCAGCACCGGCATCGACGGCGGCAGCAGCAGCGGCAGCAGCAGCGGCTCCAGTGGCGGCTCCAGCAGCAACACCGGCAGCGGCAGCAGCGGCGGCAGCAGCGGCGGCAGCAGCAGCAGCATCGGCGGCGGCAGCAGCAGCGGCAGCAGCAGCAGCACCGGTAGCGGCAGCAGCAGCGGCACCAGCACCGGCAGCAGCGGCGTCAGCAGCGACGCCTTCACCCCTCCGCCGTCATGGCGTCGTCGGACTCATCGGTCGATCTAGCGACCATTGACGCTCTCGAGCTGCTGGGCGACAACTCGGCCGCCAACTGGCACTCCTATGCTCACTCCGTCGAGGTGTTGCTCTCCTCGGTCATCGTCAGCGAATATACCCTTCGCTCCGTCGTGTTCCAGGAGGAGGGTGGACTCCAGCCCATCGCCCCTTCCGCCCCCACTGGACCTGCTCCCGATGAGCCCGGACCCGAGCCCGAGCCTCCTGGTGATCCCCCCTCCTTCGCGCCAGATGTTCACAACCCACAAAGCGTGGAGTCTGCCATTCGTGCCTATCGCACCTCACTCAACGACCACCTTCGCCGCCAACTGCGCTACGACGATGACAAGCGCATCTACGACAGTGTTGCTGCCCGCCACCGTGAATACCAAGCCCAGTTCGCCACTTACACTACCCGCCTCACCACCTACACCACTGATATCGCTGCGTGGCGCGTTGCTGATCGTCGAGCCCTCGCTATCCTCCTCGCCACCATCCCCTCCTCCCTCAAATGAGAGCTCTCCCCCACCTCCTCCTCCCACCTGTGGCAACTGCTTGTCGACCTCTTTGACCGACAGGACATCGCCACTCTCTATGCACTCATTAAGGAATTCGGATCCATCACCATGGATTCCACCGCCGGCGCAGCTGCCTTTACTCGCCGCGTCCTTGACCTCGCTCGCCGCCTTGCAGCGCTCGGTGTTGTCTACCCTGGCACCGTCATCTGCTGCCACCTTCTCGAGGGTCTCACTCCTGCCTTCGATGCCCATAAGCTGGCATACATGCAACTCCTCTCCAAGCATGACACTCCCGCTCAAGTTGCGCAATGGATCATCACCACTGAAGCTGAAATCCTGCGCCACTCCTCCTCCACTGCCGCAGCAGCACAGCAGCGCAGCAGCAAAGGCGGGCGTGGGGGGGGCGTGGAGGTGGGCGTGGTGGTGGTCGAGGCGGCTCTGGCGGTCGTGGTGGTGCGGGTCGTGGTGCAGCAGCGGCCTTCCCACCCTGTCAGTATCTTCCCCTCTATGGCCCCACCCGAGGCCAACGCTGCAACCAGACCACTCATGCGACTGAGACGTGCTTCAAGGCACTCAGTGATGAGTGGTTCGCTCGTGGGAACTCTGGCACCCCTCCTCGCTGGTCCGCCCTCAACCCCCGCCGCACTCCCCTGGATGTCCGCACCTCTCCCCTTTACGCCCCTTCCTCCTCCTCCCAGGCCCACCAGGCCTTTGCTCTCCCCTCTCACCACCACCAGCAGCAGCAGCAGCACCAGAGTGTCCAGCAGCAGGGGCCGCAGCAGTACCAGCAGCAGCTTCATCAGCTCCAGCAGCAGCTTCAGCAGCTCCAGCAGCAGCTTGACCTCCAGCCCCAGCTTCCTCTCCTCCCTCCTCCTCCTGTCCCCCAGCAGCAGTCGTTTCCCGACTGGACCGCCGGGAATGCGGCCTCCGCGGCCCACCTCTCCGGTCCATCCCCTGCACCGTCTACACGTGGCAGTGTGACCCCCTTTCCCTCCTCTGGCTTTGTTGGTCTGCGTAGTCAGCCTCCTTCTGTCGCATCCCCTATGTATGCCCCTGCTATTAATGAAACTTCAATTCAGTACTCCGCCTCACCCTCCTCCACCCTTGAGTTCGTCTTGGACAGTGGAGCCACTGACAATGTCTTTCGCGATGCCGGCAAACTCCATCCTCTCCCCACACCCACGTCCCTCCTCGGCGCTGATAGCAGCTTTTCCATCCCCTGTCACAACACGTCCACCCTTCCCTGTCCTCTCTTTCCCTCAGGTACTGTCACAGGTCTTCACATTCCCTCCCTTCGCACCAACCTCCTCTCCCAAAGGTCCCTCCAACAATCCATGATCACCACTGTCACCCCAGGTGGTGCTAACCATTGTGACCTTTACCAAACCTCCACAGGTCGCTTCCTCTCCCGCATTCCCTACTGTCCCCGCTCCCGTCTGTACACCCTTCGGGTTCCTCGCCCCCTCACCTTCCAAGTTGCCTCCCCCCCCCTCCTTTCCCCCCCTCCTCCCCTCCCTCCCACTAACCCACCCGTCCGCCCCCGCCCCCCTGACTCTGACTGCTCATGTCGCTCCCTCTCCCACCCTGCCATCCTCCTCCATCACAGGCTAGGTCACCCCAACTTCGCCACTCTGCGCTCCTCTGTATCCTCCGGTCTCCTCCACTGTCTCCCCTCCTCCCTCCCTCCCCTCCCAAAGTCCCCTGCCCCCCCTTGCGTCGTCTGTATTCAGAGCAAGCTCAAGCAGCAGCCGCACCGGAGCTCCCCCTCCGCTGCTGCCCAGCCACTTGATCTTGTTCACATGGACCTCTGGGGCCCTAATCCCTCCCCCACTCGCCAAGGCCATCGCTACCTTCTCGTGCTCGTCGATGATCACAGTCGGTACTCGTCCGTCTCTCTCCGGACAAAGGCGGACGCCCCGATTGCGATCATTGCCTGGCTCGAACAGGCAAACACCCACTTTGGGCGCCCTGTTCGCCGCCTTCACTCTGATGGTGGTGGTGAGTTCCTTAATAACCAAATCTCCTCCTATTGCCAGTCCCGCGGCATTCTTCAGACTTACACCCTCCCTCACTCCCCACAGCAGAACGGTGTCGCTGAGAGCCGTGTTCGGGAGATCACCAAAACGGCTCGGTGTCTTCTTGTCCACGCCTCATGCCCCCCTTCTCTGTGGGGCTGCGCCCTCCTTCATGCCGCCCTCCTTCATGCCGCCCTCCTTACTAACCTTTACCCTCACCCCCTCCCCTCCACCAACCCCACTGAGCTATGGACAAAGGACAAACCCGATGTCTCCCCTCTTCGAGTCTGGGGCTCAAAGGCATATGTCCTCATTCACCTGTCTGAGCGATCCTGTTCCCTGGGAAAGCTTGCCCCTCGTACCCTTCCTTGCATCTTCCTTGGTCATAACCCCTCTTCCCCCGACTATCTTTTCCTGCACCCCCCTTCCGGTCGACTAATTCGCAGCAGAGATGTCGTCTTTGACGAATCCACCCCGTACTATTCCTCTCCTTCGTCCACTGACCCACTCCCACCTCTGACTCGTCCCCTTGTCTGGTCTGACACCACCCCTCCCCCTCTCCTCCCTCCTCCCCCCATCCTCCCACCCCCTCCCCCTCCGCCCTCCTAGTCCCACGGTGCCCCCCCCTCGTCTGGTGACATCTTTGACCCGGACCCCCTGTCTTCCCCTGCCTCCCCCACTCACTCCTCCCCTGGTGCCCCTCCTCCCCCTCCCTCCCAACCCTCACCTCCCTCCCCCACTCCCCGCACCATACTCACTCGGTATCCTCACACCAGGTCACGTGACAGTATCCTTGGTGCACCGCCCCCTGTTACCCTCTCTACCTCTACCCTCCCTCCTCTTTCCCCCCTCCTTCACCACTTCTTCCAGGCTGTCTTGCATCCAGCCCCCTCAACCACCTCTCCAGCAGCAGCAGCAACAGCTCCAGCAGCAGCCACCGCAGCGGCACCAGCAGCGGCGAGTGCAGCGGCAGCAGCGGCATCCGCACCAGCACCAGCAGCGGCACCAGCAGCGGCACCTGCGGTCATCCGCGCCTTCCACACCTCCCTCTCTGAAGACTCCCATGAGGAGTTCCTTGACCTCCACCTCTCTGACCCCTCCCTCCTTCCCATCACCTTTGACCTCTCTGGAACACAAGTCTTCGCCTTTTCCTCTGCTCCCTCCACCTTCATCCCAACCACGTATGAGGAGGCCATGGCTTGCCCCGACGCCCCGCTCTGGCTCGCCGCCATCATCAAGGAGCTCGAGGCATTTATTGCCAACTCCTCCTTCGTTGATGTGCCTCACCCTCCCTCCTCTACGAACGTGGTAAAGGGGAAGTGGGTGTTTTCACGTCAAACAGCTACCAGGAGAGCCGCCCGTCTACAAGGCCCGGTATTGCGCCAAGGGCTTCACGCAGCGGTATGGCTTTGACTTCTTCGACACCTTCTCCCCCACCGCCAAACCTGCTACCGTTCGCGCCGTACTCGACCTCGCCGCTCGCCTCAACATGGAGATCCACTCGATGGATGTCTCCAACGCCTTCCTGTAAGGCGTGCTACGTGAACTGATCTACATGGAGCGCCCGGCGGGCTTCCACCTCCCCTTCCCCGCTGTCTCCGTCTGGCAGCTGCGCCGACCAGTGTATGGGCTCCGCCAGGCACCCAGGGAATGGCATGCCAAGCTTGCTGCCACCCTTGCCGAGCTTGGGTTTCGCACCTCCCGCTCTGACGCCAGCCTCTTCCTCCGCACCTCCCCCTCCCCCTTCTACATCCTCGTCTGTGTTGACGATATGATTCTCCTCACTGCCGATCTTGCCGAGCTCGAGAGTGTCAAGACGGAGCTGGGCAGCCGTCTCAAGTGCAAAGACCTGGGAGAGCTGCAGCACTACCTCGGCATGACCATCACTTGCGACCGTTCCGCTCGCACCATCTCTCTCTCTCAGGGTCACTACCTCCAGCAGGTCTTGGACCGGTTTGAAATGGCGCGCGGCAACCCCCAGCCCACTACCCTCTCGGTTGGGCACCACCTCTCCCCACCCTCCTCTCCCTCTCCCTCCTCCCATCCTTATCCTGAACTCATCGGTTCTCTCATGTACGCCATGGTTTCCACTCGCCCTGACCTTGCCTACCCCATCAGCTTCCTAGCTCGCTTCGTTGGCGCTGGCAAGCATACGGAAGAGCACTGGCAGGCCGCCAAGCGCGTCCTTCGCTACGTTTGTGGCACCAAGGACTATGTCCTTACCCTTGGCGGCCCTTCCCCACCCCTCCTCAGCGGCTACAGCGACTCTTCCTGGGCTGATTCGCGACCGGATCGGCGATCCTCTCAGGGTTATGGTTTCTCTCTGGGCAGCGGTCTCATCAGCTGGCGGTCCACACGCTCCTCTGCCGTCGCCCTCTCCTCCTGCGAAGCAGAGCTCTACGCTGCCACCATGGCCGCGCAAGAAGCACGCTGGCTCACCTTCCTCCTTGATGAGCTTGGAGCCCCCCAACGCTGTCCCACCATCTGGTGTGACAACGCCAGCACCATCCACCTCACCAAGGATGCTGTGTATCATGGGCGCTCCAAACACATTGAGCTTCGCTACTTCTTCATTCGCGATCTCGTTGAGGCCGGCCACATTCGCCTTGGCAAAATCGACTCGGCGGCCAACCTCGCTGACATCTTCACCAAAGCCCTTCCCCAAGCATCCCACTCCTTCCTTATGCGTCTCCTTGGCCTCACCCCTCCTCCGGTTTTGACGGCCTCCTAATTACATCTTCTAACCTTATGCATGTTGGGGGGTTGTGTTGTAAATGTACATTATATACAACATTCATATGCTAGAATAGGTGTAGTCCCTTATGTTCTTGGGGGGTTGGGTGTACACTCGAACCACACTTTGTGGTTGGTCAAGATTGGATTTGGTCTTGGTCCTTGGTTGGCACTTGCCAACTTTTGGTCCTAACACCAACCAATCACATCCTATCTACATTGTGGGGTTTCCTACTCCACAAGGCACCTCACCCATTGGCCAACTTAGTGGCCAATAGGGTTAGCTCCTCCTCCACTCCTCTCTTCCTTGCATGCTTGTACTATAGAGCCTCCTTGGCTCATTACTCAATCATTCTTGAATTCTATCACACATTGCATTGCATGGGGGATGGACGCACGTTGCATTGCATGGCGGATGGACGCACATTGCATTGCATGGGGGATGGACGCACATTGCATTGCATGGCGGATGGACGCACGTTGCATTGCATGGCGGATGGACGCACATTGCATTGCATGGGGGATGGACGCACATTGCATTGCATGGCGGATGGACGCACATTGCATTGCATGGCGGATGGACGCACATTGCATTGCATGGCGGATGGACGCACATTGCATTGCATGGCGGATGGACGCACATTGCATTGCATGGGGGATGGATGCACATTGCATTGCATGGGGGATGGACGCACATTGCATTGCATGGGGGATTGACGCACATTGCATTGCATGGGGGATGGACGCACATTGCATTGCATGGCGGATGGACGCACATTGCATTGCATGGGGGATGGACGCACATTGCATTGCATGGGGGATGGACGCACATTGCATTGCATGGGGGATGGACGCACATTGCATTGCATGGGGGATGGACGCACATTGCATTGCATGGGGGATGGACGCACATTGTATTGCATGGGGGATGGACGCACATTGCATTGCATGGGGGATGGACGCACATTGCATTGCATGGGGGATGGACGCACATTGCATTGCATGGGGGATGGACGCACATTGCATTGCATGGGGGATGAACGCACATTGCATTGCATGGGGGATGGACGCACATTGCATTGCATGGGGGATGGACGCACATTGCATTGCATGGGGGATGGACGCACATTGCATTGCATGGGGGATGGACGCACATTGCATTGCATGGGGGATGGACGCACATTGCATTGCATGGGGGATGGACGCACATTGCATTGCATGGGGGATGGATTCACATTGCATTGCATGGGGGATGGACGCACATTGCATTGCATGGGGGATGGACGCACAGTGCATTGCATGGGGGATGGACGCACATTGCATTGCATGGGTGGTCGCATGTGAATTGCATGGGGCGTGCATGCGCGCCTTACCTTCAGGTATTGGAAGATGCGGAGAAGCTGCGGCAGCATGGCATACCGGGGTCGGTGATTCTAATTGACAGCCCGTGGCAGACGGCGTACAACGACTTCACCATCAACCGCCACCAGTTCACCGACCCCCAGACGCTCTTCTCCAAGCTGCATGCCCTCGGGTGCGTGCTGCTGTTTGTGTTAGAAAGCGATACATTTGAAAGATCCAAAAGTGGACTGATAAAGTGGTTGAATCAAACAAAATGGCTCCCCTCTCCCCTCTCCCCTCGCCCCTCGCCCTGCACAGCTTCCGGGTGGTGTTTTGGGCGACGCCGTTCGTGAACGAGGTGAACCGCGTGGACATGCCGGGCATCACGGCTGCCGCCGGGCCCAACTTCCACGAGGCGGTGCGCCGCGCCTTGCTCGTGCGCAACGCCACGGGGCAGCCGCAGGTGGTGCGCTGGTGGAAGGGGCGCGGGGCGCGCGTGGACTTCAGCAGCGCGGAGGCGGAGCGGTGGTGGCGCGGGCAGATGGGGCGCATGCTGCAGTGGGAGGAGGTGTTTGGCGGGGTGAAGGCGGACGACGGCGAGGGCGGGTACTTTGAGGCGGGTGCCGTGTTCCATGACGGCACGCCACTCCCCCTCATGCGCAACAAAGTGAGCCCACCTGCTGCCTGCTTCGCTTGCGTCCGTGCAACCTGTTGTGATGTCCGTGCAACCTGTTGTGATGTCCGTGCAGCCTGTTGTGATGTCCGTGCAGCCTGTTGTGATGTCCGTGCAACCTGTTGTGATGTCCGTGCAACCTGTTGTGATGTCCGTGCAACCTGTTGTGATGTCCGTGCAACCTGTTGTGATGTCCGTGCAGCCTGTTGTGATGTCCGTGCAACCTGTTGTGATGTCCGTGCAACCTGTTGTGATGTCCGTGCAGCCTGTTGTGATGTCCGTGCAGCCTGTTGTGATGTCCGTGCAACCTGTTGTGATGTCCGTGCAACCTGTTGTGATGTCCGTGCAACCTGTTGTGATTTCCGTGCAGCCTGTTGTGATGTCCGTGCAGCCTGTTGTGATGTCCGTGCAACCGTTGTGATGTCCGTGCAACCTGTTGTGATGTCCGTGCAACCTGTTGTGATGTCCGTGCAACCTGTTGTGATGTCCGTGCAACCTGTTGTGATGTCCGTGCAACCTGTTGTGATGTCCGTGCAACCTGTTGTGATGTCCGTGCAGCCTGTTGTGATGTCCGTGCAACCTGTTGTGATGTCCGTGCAACCTGTTGTGATGTCCGTGCAACCTGTTGTGATGTCCGTGCAACCTGTTGTGATGTCCCTGCAACCTGTTGTCCCAAACAAAGTTGGTTGAGTGCGCACATGGTTGAGTGCGCACATGGTTGGTATCTGTCAACGTCACAGCATGTCCAGTAAAGCACATGCATCGTTCCATCTCCCCTCCATGATGCCAATCCATCTGCCACACCGCCCTCTGCTCTTCCAAACTGCCCCTCTTTGTCCAGCCTCCCACGTGCGCCCTTCTATCTCCATGTGCCTTCACTCGCTACCTTGCCTTACCTAGCCTTTGACCTGATCCCACACCGTCGCCCCCCGTGGTGGCCGTGGCAGTACGTGCAGCTGTACCCAGCTCCCTGCTCGTGTGTGTCACTGCCTCGCGATGGCAGTACGTGCAGCTGTACCCAGCTCCCTGCTCGTGTGTGTCACTGCCTCGCAATGGCAGTACGTGCAGCTGTACCTGGGCAGCATGCAGCGCTTCATCAACCACAGCGTGGGGCCCACCCAGGGCGTTGTGCTCGCCCGCTCTGCCTTCACTGGCACTGCCAGGTGATTCCCTCCCCACCCTGCCAGGTGATTTCCACATTGCCAGGTGACTCCCACACTGCCAGGTGATTCCCACCCTGCCAGGTGATTCCCACACAGCCAGGTGATTCCCACACTGCCAGGTGATTCCCACACTACCAGGTGATTCCTACACTGCCAGGTGATTCCCACCCTGCCAGGTGATTCCCACACTGCCAGGTGTTTCCCACCCTGCCAGGTGATTCCCACACTGCCCGGTGATTCCCACACTGCCAGGTGATTCCCACCCTGCCAGGTGATTCCCACACTGCCAGGTGATTCCCACACCCTGCCAGGTGATTCCCACACTGCCAGGTGATTCCCACACTGCTAGGTGATTCCCACACTGCCAGGTGATTCCCACACTGCCAGGTGATTCCCACGCTGCCAGGTGATTCCCACCCTGCCAGGTGTTTCCCACCCTGCCCGGTGATTCCCACACTGCCAGGTTATTCCCACACTGCCAGGTGATTCCCACCCTGCCAGGTGATTCCCACACTGCCCGGTGATTCCCACACTGCCAGGTGATTCCCACACCCTGCCAGGTGATTCCCACACTGCCAGGTGATTCCCACACTGCCAGGTGATTCCCACACTGCCAGGTGATTCCCACATTGCCAGCTACTTGCAACACTACCGGATGATTTCATCACCACCACGCGATTCCCACCCATCGTGCCCTTTCCAAATCCTCTTCATGTGCCCAGTATACACTGTCCTGTCCCCTCTCCTCCGCGCCCCTACCTCACCTCTTCTTTTATTCCACACTGCCTGTTCCAGTCTACACTGGCTTGTCCCTGCTCCTTCCTCGCTCCTCTCTGCGCCCTCCGCCCTCCTCCCTTCCCCCCGGGGCAGCTCATTCGTGTGGGCGGGCGACAACAGGGCGTCCTTCTCCCGCGCGGACGGGCTGCCATCGGTGGTGGTGGCGGGGCAGACAGCGGCGCTCTCAGCGCTCTACCTGTGGGGCAGCGACATCGCCGGCTATCTGGGCAAGGCCATCCCGCGCAACGTCTTCATCCGCTGGACGCAGTTTGGGTCAGCCTCCTCCCATTGCCCGCCCCAAGCCGCACCCAAGCCGCCTGCAGTGATGTGTGACCACCACGTGGCGCTGCAGTGATGTGTGACCACCATGTGGCGCTGCAGTGATGTGTGACCACCATGTGGCGCTGCAGTGATGTGTGACCACCACGTGGCGCTGCAGTGATGTGTGACCACCATGTGGCGCTGCAGTGATGTGTGACCACCACGTGGCGCTGCAGTGATGTGTGACCACCACGTGGTGCTGCAGTGATGTGTGACCACCATGTGGCGCTGCAGTGATGTGTGACCACCATGTGGCGCTGCAGTGATGTGTGACCACCACGTGGCGCTGCAGTGATGTGTGACCACCATGTGGCGCTGCAGTGATGTGTGACCACCATGTGGCGCTGCAGTGATGAGTGACCACCACGTGGACCCGCATGCACGCGTGCTGTCATTGCCTCTCATCATCAGTTTCTTCCATGACACGTCCATCCATGCATGCACCACATCATACTCACCTTTTTAAACATGACATTTCCTCTTTGTTTTCTTATGTTCCTCTCCTCCTCTGTTTGCCCCACAAGGCCTTCCCATACTTACCCTTTTGTGCCCCTTTTCGCCCCACCAACCAGCGCCATTTCCCTCTTCGCCCCACCAACCAGCGCCATTTCCCTCTTCGCCCCACCAACCAGCGCCATTTCCCTCTTCGCCCCACCAACCAGCGCCATTTCCCTCTTCGCCCCACCAACCAGCGCCATTTCCCTCTTCGCCCCACCAACCAGCGCCATTTCCCTCTTCGCCCCACCAACCAGCGCCATTTCCCTCTTCGCCCCACCAACCAGCGCCATTTCCCTCTTCGCCCCACCAACCAGCGCCATTTCCCTCTTCGCCCCACCAACCAGCGCCATTCCCTCTTCGCCCCACCAACCAGCGCCATTTCCCTCTTCATGCATTTGCTGAAAAGTCAAAGTTTTGTCTTCTCCTCCTCCTTCCCCCCCCCCTCTCCCCCCTCCCCCCTCCCCCCTCCCCTCCCCCCTCCCCCTCAGCGCACTGTCCCCGTTGATGCATCAGTTCGGGCAGGCCAACAACGGCCCGTGGGACTACGACGCGCTCACGCTGCGCATCTACCGCCGCTTCGCCCGCCTGCACACCGCCCTCGCGCCCTACCTGCTGCGCGCTGCATGGCTCGCAAGCACGGAGGGGCGGCCCGTGATGTGCCCCATGGCGCTGTGTGCGCAGGGGGATGAGGCCGCGGAGAGTGGGCGGTGGGAGGGACAGTACCTGCTGGGACCCGACCTGCTGGTGGCACCCGTCGTCAATGAGAGCGACCACTTGCACGTGCGCCCCTCTCTGCCCTCGTCTCTTGCTTCTCCGCCCCAGTAGATGCACCCAGTGCGTGCAAGTGCACCCAGTGCATGCAAGTGCACCCAGTGCATGCAAGTGCCTGTGCTGCTTCTCCATCTTGACGCATCCCTGTATGCTCTTGGCCTCTCCCTCCCCCCGTTCCCTGTGTGCATACCACCACTCCTCACCGCACCTCACGCGACACCCTCACGCCACACCCTCACGCCACACCCTCATGCCACGGCCCTCTCAGGTGTTCTTCCCAGCATCCACTCCGCACTGGCGCCATCTGTTCTCAGGGCGGCGGTACAGCGGAGGGCAGGTGGAGGGGGTGGCGGTGGCGTTGGAGGAGGCGGCGGTGTTTGTGAGGGAGGGCGCGGTGCTGGAGGTGCTGCCCGACCACACCGACACTCTCGTGCCCTGTGGCGCTCACATCCTCCCCTCCGTCACTTGCATGCCTAGGTGCGCCCTCCCATACCCACGTGCGCCCTCCCATGCCCACGTGCGCCCCCCCATGCCCACGTGCGCCCCCCCATGCCCACGTGCGCCCCCCCATGCTCACGTGCGCCCCCCCATGCCCACGTGCGCCCCCCCATGCCCACGTGCGCCCTCCCATGCCCACGTACGCCCTCCCATGCCCAGGTCAGGTGCATTTGGTACTGTGCTGCATTGTGGGTACCAGTTCTCACAGGTCTCATGTGAGGGGCACTTGGTATCTGACGGACAGGCATCCAGGTCATGGTGTGTTGTGTGTTGCATGGCCACCTCCATGCGTCATGCCATACATCCTTGTCCCTGCTCCCGCCTGCCCCGTATCCCCCCATCAGCCATCGCACCATCCAGCTGTGGCCGGGCGGGGCCGGCAGCACAGAGCTGTGTGCGCTGCTGCGTGTGTCGCACCACTATGAGGGCACCGTCACCCCTGCCTCTCACGGACTGCCGGGCCACTCTGCCGAGTCCGCCAGCAGCGGCAGCGGCGCCGGCGCCGGTCATGTGAAGATGAGCAGCGCAGGAGGTGCAAGTGGCAGCTTGGCGGACGAGAGTGGTAGGGGTGTGGGTGGGGAGGGGAGTGGGGAGGGAGAGGTGGAGGCAGACGGGGGTGCGGGGCTGCAGGGAGGGGGTGATGGTGATGTGGCGAGGGGCGAGGGTGAGGCGGTGGAGGATCTTCCTCAGATGGATGCAGCGCAGGAGGACGAGGGGGGAGGGGCTGGGGCAGGAGGGGAGGGCAAGGACGAGGGAGATGTGAGAATGAGAAGAGCGAGGAGGCTGCTGGGGATGGGCGACGGTGCTCTGGAGGGGCTTGAAGTGGGTGTGCTGCACTTGAGGAGAGAGCAGCAAGAGGGGGGAGGCGAGCAGCAGCAAGGCGGGGCGGGCGGTGGGAGCGGGGGCAGGCGGGTGGTGGAGGTGGCATGGGGGGGTACGGCGCGCAGGGAGGTGCATGTGATGCTCATGTTCGAGCACGTCCCCCACGTCACACTCACACTGCTGCCACCCACGGGTGCCGCTCATGGCGCACAGGAGGGCCGGCGTGTGCCGTGTGAGAGCGCTGAAAGCCTGGACAGGCCGCTGTCTCTCTGCCGTCTGCACCTAGATAAAGGGATCACACGGATAGTTTACCCTGTGTGATATGCGTAGTACTAAACAAAAGCCTACGTACCACTCCTATACTTGGTAAAGATACCGTAATAGTGGTACCAGTTGCCCCCGGGTAGTAGCCCAGGTGCGCTTATAATAAAATTGATTATTTTCTTGAAGGATTCCGCTTTTGATTGAGTTTAGGGTACAAGTGCATGCGCCTGTAAGCGAAAAATATGAAAAATGTTTCTAAAGGTACCAAATTGAAGCCTTAAATAAGGCGAATACAACCGTGAAACGTTCATGTCACATGTGGGATCATGCATGAAACGTTCTAGAAAAAGGTGAAATGTTCACGACCAGCGCAGCGCATAGCGTACCACGCATGCTCCTTTATGGGTTTAGGCGGGAGTTTCCCCGTCAATCATTCATGAGGATCCCGAGCCGCCAACCCGAAGGGGTCCCCTTCGATGTTAATTTCTTCTCTCGTTCTTGCACCTTCTGATCAGTTTCCTTTCTCTCCAGCCTGGCCGCAGAAGCCAAGGCGGAATTCACTGGCATCCATTTTCTTTTCAAGAAGAAATCTAGGCCCACGTTCCGAATTAGCACTGACGTTTGGTACAGCCGTGTCCCACCAGATCCACACGAGCCACCACAGCCGCCTGCGCCACCTACACCCCCTGTCAAATGATATATCTGCTATATATGTTTAGGCTGTAGTGGGGTAGCCAATATGGGGTACAGCCCCTTTTAGGGTTTCGTGTTTGTACCCGACTCTTTCATAGTTCATTCATTCCTGCTGCTAGATTCTAACATGGTATCATAGCAATAGGTCCGTAGGACCGTCTTTTTTTTCGGGCCCACCATACCGTTGCGGTTACCGCGCTACCCCACGTGTTGTCCTGCCTTGCCTTGTGACGTGCTGCGCTGCGCGCGCCGTCCAGTAGTCCCCGCGCTGCCTCCTGCTGCCCTAGGCCAGCGCGCCGCCCCTGCAGGCCCGTAAGGCCCGCGCCCCGCCCCTGCAGGCCCGTAAGGCCCGCGCGCCGCCCTTGCAGGCTCGTAAGGCCCACGCGCCGCCCCTGCAGGCCCGTCAGGCCCGCGAGCCGCCCCTGCAGGCCCGCCAGGCCCGCGAGCCGCCCCTGCATGCCCGTCAGGCCAGAGCGCCGCCCCGCCAGGTCGCTGACATGGCCCCGCCCTGCCGCTGACGCGGTCCCGCCCTGCCGCAGTCGCGGCCCCGCCCTGCCGCCGACACGGCCCCGCCCTGCCGCCAACGTGGCCCCGCCAGGTCGCTGTCGCGGCCCTGCCAGGTCGCTGTCGCGGCCCGCCCTGCCGCTGACGCGGCCCCGCCCTGCCGCTGACGCGGCCCCGCCCTGCCTCTGACGCGGCCGCGCCCTGCCGCCGACGCGGCCCCGCCAGGTCGCTGTCGCGGCCCGCCCTACCGCCGACGCGGCCCCGCCAGGTCGCTGTCGCGGCCCGCCCTGCCGCTGACGCGGCCCCGCCCTGCCTCTGCCGCGGCCGCGCCCTGCCGCCGACGCGGCCCCGCCCTGCCTCTGACGCGGCCGCGCCCTGTCGCCAACGCGGCCCCGCCCTGCCTCTGACGCGGCCGCGCCCTGCCGCCGACGCGGCCCCGCCAGGCCACTGATGCGGCGCCGCCCTGCCGCTGTCGCGGCCCCACCCTGCCGCCGACGCAGCCCCGCCAGGTCGCGGCCCCGCCCTGCCGCCGACGCGGCCCCGCCAGGACGCTGTTGCGGCCCCGCCAGGACGCTGTTGCGGCCCCGACCTGCCGCTGACGCGGCCCCGCCCTGCAGCTGACGCGGCCCTGACCTGCCGCTGACGCGGCCCCGCCCTGCAGCTGCCGCGGCCCTACTCTGCAGCCGCTATTGCGGCCCCGCCGTCGCCGCCATCGTGCGCCTACCCTGCCGCCGCACGCCGAGCGCCGGCCCTGCTCGCCCGGCGAGCGCATGCCCTTCCCGCCACTGGTGAGCACCTGCCTTGTTCGCGCGCTGCCGCGCCCTCTGCCTGCCTGCCTGCCTGCCGCGCCTGCCCTGCCTGCGCTGCTGCTGCTACTACTGCTACTACTACTGCTACTGGTGCTACTGGCGGTGGCCAGATGCAGCTCCAGCGACGTCTGCGCGAGTCTCTCACCCCAGCAGCTTCGTGAGTGGTACGCTAGTTGGGGTTGTGGCGGTAGCCGTCGTGGCTGTCGCCCTGGAGCTGGTCAGTCGGGAGCGTCTGGCAGTGGCCAGCTGCAGCTGCAGCGGCGTCCGCGCGAGACACTTACGCCCCAGAAGCTTCGTGAGTGGTACGCTCAGAGTAGAGGGTCTTTGAGTACCGTTCGCTGCCCGTACGTCATTCACACAGGTGCTCGGGCTGGTCAGGCTTGCGGGACGCTTGGTCACACACAGTCTTGCTTCGCCCGTCTGAGCGACGCCTGGCGTACCGAGTGTGGCGACGAGGCTGAGCTCCCGACTTGGCAGGAGCTGCTTGGACAGAGGGTAGATATCTTTGCTCTTGACTATGATGCTATTCTCACTGCCATGTATGCATTGCCTACTAGTGCTGACCGTGCCTGTTACCTGTGCGTACCGCCTGACCCAGGTATAGAGCCTGCTGATCTAGGTGCTGGTGAGGCTGCTGCTCTAGGTGCTAGTGTGTCTCCTGCTCTAGGTGCAGGTGAGGCTGCTGCTCCAGGTGCTGGTGAGTCTGCTCTCTCTGGTACTGCGCCTGCTGAGGCCTTGTACACCTTCACACTTGACTCAGGTGCTTCCCGCTCCTTCTTTTGCGACAGCACCACCCTCACGCCGCTCAGTCGGCCGGTTGCAGTCTCCCTGGCAGACCCCTCTGGGGGTCCAGTCCTTGCGCACTCCTCCACGGTCCTGCCGTGTCCGGCGGTCCCGTCTGGCTCCCTGTCAGGTCTTCACCTCCCCTCGTTCTCTACGAACTTGGTGAGTGGTGCTGACCTCCAGGACCAGTGGGTTGACCAGTTCACTCTTGGAGGTCAGCGCGTGACCCAATGTACGTGCTCCCGGACGGGCCGGCACCTGGCCACGTTTACCCGTGCGCCTGGCTCGAGTCTGTACACACTGACTACTGTGTCCCCTCAGGTCGCTGCATCTGCGTCTGTCTCAGGTCAGCTAGCGGCCCCCTGCTCGTGTCGCGCTTTGTCGCAACAGACCCTCCTTTGGCACCACCGTCTTGGTCACCCCTCGGTGCAGCGCCTTCGTAGCATGCACCGCCGTGTCCTTGTCTCTGGTCTTCCCAGGGTTCTACCTCCCCTCCCACCCTTGCCTGCTCCTCCCTGTCTTCCGTGTGTCGAGGGGCGGCAGCGCGCCGCTCCTCACTCCTCCTCGTTTCCCCCGACGACTGCTCCCCTGCAGACCCTGCACATGGACGTGTGGAGCCTAGCCCGCGTCAGTGGGCAGGACCGCGAGCGGTACTTCCTACTGGTTGTTGACGACTACTCGCGTTACACCACGGTCTTCCCCTTGCGCACCAAGGGTGAGGTCCTTGCTGTTTTGATCCCTTGGATCCGCGCTGCCCGTCTCCAGCTCCGCGAGCGGTTCGGGACGGAGTTTCATGTCCTGCATCTGCACTCTGACAGAGGTGGGGAGTTTTTTTCCGACCTTCTGCAGAGCTTTTGTCGTGGGGAGGGCATTCGCCAGACGTTCACGCTTCCGGCCTCTCCGCAGCAGAATGGGGTTGCTGAGCGCCGCATTGGCTTGGTCATGGAGGTCGTTCGTACCTCCATGGTCCATGCGGCTGCCCCCCATTTTCTGTGGCCATTTGCGGTCCGCTACGCCGCGCATCAGCTCAACTTCTGGCCCCGTGTCTCCTTGCCAAAAACCTCGCCCACACTGCGGTGGACGGAGGAGGTTGGCGATGCGTCGGTGTTCCGGGTCTGGGGTTCTCGTGCCTTCGTCCGCGATACCACCGCGGACAAGCTCTCTGCCCGCGCTGTTCCCCGTGTCTTCCTTGGCTTTGTCCTTGACGCGCCTGGTTGGCAGTTTTACCACCCCACCTCGCGCCGTGTCTTCCCCTCTTAGGACGTCACGTTCGACGAGTCGGTTCCCTTTTACCGTCTCTTCCCCTACTGCACTGCCCCTCTCCCCCCCCCCGCCGCTCTTCCTTGCTCCCGGTGCTCCCCAGGTAGCCCCCCTCCCCGCTCCCGGTCCTGCTCCTTCAGGTGTGTCTCAGGTAGACCCTCCTCCCTTGACTGCGCCGGTTGAGGTCACTGGTGACTCAGGTCCTGCTGAGGGTGGTCCTGCTCGGGGTGCTGCTTGTGGGGGTGCTGAGACTGGGGGTGCTGAGCCTGGGGGTGCGGAGCCTGGGGGTACTGAGCCTGGGGGTGCGGAGCCTGGGGGTACTGAGCCTGGGGGTGCGTAGCCTGGGGGTGCGGAGCCTGGAGGTGCTGAGCCTGAGTGTGAGGAGTCTAGGGGTGCTGAGCCTGGGGGTACTGAGTCTGGGGGTGCTGCACCTGGGGGCGCTGAGGGGTCTGATGAGGAGTCTCCCTGGAGCGGCCGTCTTCGTAGTCGCTCCGCTGGTGCCTCGCCGCTGCACTCTCGTCGTCGAGTCCCTCTCTCCCCACAGCAGCTGCGTGAGTGGTACGTTGGCCGTAAGGGTCGCACTGCTGGAGCTAGGGGCCCTGCTGCGGGAGGCGCTGGAGCTGGTGACTCTGCTACAGGAGTTGTTTCTGTTGGAGGTTCTGGAGCTGCTGAGGGTGCTGGCGCTGGAGGTTCTGGAGCTGCTGCGGGTGCTGGCGCTGGAGGTTCTGAAGTCGCTGCAGGTGCTGGCACTGAGGGTTCTGAGTCTGCTGTTGCGCGGTCTCCTTGGAGTAGCCGCCTTCGTCCGCGTGTGCCTCTCACCTCACAGCAGCTGCACGATTGGTATGGTCGCCGTCAGGGTCACGCTTCTGGAGCTCGGGGCTTTGCCGCTGGAGGTACTTCTGCTGACGTCACTGGAGCTGGGAGTGGTGCTGGTCCCGGAGGTGCTCGTACTGGAGGTACTGGAGCTGCTGGGGCTGGAGGTGCTGAGCCTGAGGGTGCTGCTGCTGG